ACCCACACTGTGGGCAATTTAAAGATGCCAGCTAGCCCATTACATTGTAGCAGATGCTTTTATGACCAGCCAATCTCAAGAGCAAAGGTAGGCATTCTTATCCAGAATGGGCCGCTGTGTGCGCGGGTTTTCGCTGCAACTCCCTAATTAGATCACTAATTAGAGGACTGATTGGCTGAAGAGTCCTCACACCTGGGTTTGAGCTGCTGACCTAAAGGTTATCCCAAAAACCCGCATACACACCGGCCCTTTGTGGATAATATTGCCCACCCCTACTCTGGAGCAGTTAAGGGGTTTGCTCAAGGGTCCAACTGTGAAATCATTTTGTCGATGACAAGGTTTGAACCAACAACCTTCTATTCGCAGTTGTAGAGTCCTAACCCACTAAGCCACACCCCTAGTTAGCCTAACTATACGTCTTTAGACTGCAGGAGGAAACCAGAGTACCTAAAGGAAACCAGTACAGCACAGGGAAGAAATGCAAACTCCACATGCACAAGGCAGGGGTGGAATGAAACCCACAATCCTGTAACTGACAGTCACCATGCTGGTCAGGATCTCCATACAGTTTTTTTTTTTTTACTGCACATCAAAATTCCCAGAATCTGTGCTAGCAAAGCTTTGCCACTAGAGGGCGATAGAGCCACAAACAAGCTGCAATTGAACATTAATAGTGTCTAACAAAGTCAAGGCTTTTCCTGAAATGCTTGATATAAAATGATTGAGATTATTCCATGGAGAAGAATCATAATATTTGTCCAACAGCCTCACTGCTTCAGCCAACACTGTCTCACAAACAGCATCTGCACCGGGGAAGATGGAGTGCAGGCAAACGAACAAACAAATGAACAAACAAACAAACAAACACCCAAATAGTACGATGCAGATACCATGCCAGGACGGCAAGGAGTACATGCTCTCCAGTAATCTGCTCCGACAAGCCATGGCATTAAATAATTCAGCCACAGTGCCTTTTCCTCTAATGGTGACGATTACTCTTGCTTAAATGCAGTAATGTGCTCTCTGACAGCATCCCTTGTTACAAGCCGCTCCCGTGGGATGCAATCTGTCAGTGGTGGTGGGCTGCCGCCGGGTTACCTTTCGACCGCTGCTCAGGCGTGGAACAAGGCGGCGGGAGCGGACTGGGGGAAAAGCCGCCTTTGTTAGTGCCGATCGATTTCGCTGTATTTTCGGGATGTGAAACCATTCAGGCTTACGCATTCGTTAGGGACGCTCGACGCGACCCAATTGCGGGTAATAATGCAAACTGTTGACTAATTAGATGGCCAAGGGCAGCTGTGTCCCAGGAGCGAATACTGGCTTTTCATTGGGTCTCAGCTCCCAAATTAGTTAAAGAAAACATCAACAGAACCATGTCAGGTGATACTGCTGCGTATCTAATCAGGGGCTTTGATCAGACAGGAGTCAGTCCCATATATCCATTTTTGTACCATAGCATGTCTGATCTAGGGGTCAGACCTAACCCCCACCCCCTCGACTGCACCACTGTCGTATCATCTGGCAGGGGGTGCTTTCAACCGCCATGTGCTGCCAGCAGTGGGGGTAGGAGAGGGGCTGTGATATTGTGGGATTTGAAATAATGACCTTCCATTTATCTAACCTCCACCCTGCCTTCAACAGGAGGCACCAGCCCAGAGTCATATGATCTGTTTTGGTCACATGATCCATACAATGGCAAGGCCTCTGACCTGCTAGCTAAGTGCAGCTCAGTGGGGTATGCACCATGTCTACCTTTTTTTTGGGGGGGGGGTTCACAATTCAAGCACACCTGCTGGGAGAGGCCCTCCCCCCCGCCAAATCCAGCAGGAGTTACAACACTCTACAGCAGAATGGACACCGGTGCAAGGTCTGATCATTCTCCTCTTCTGTTTGGACTCCTCCTCACCTTTCAGATGCATCTTGCTCCCCATCCTACACCTTCCTGGGCCATGACACCCTGAGCCAGTCTTTGGTGAAGGCGGCAAAGGCTGTTTTGTGGCTGTTAAGTGTTCAATCTCAGTTCACACACTTATTGGAATAATCCATAGGACACAGAAAAATATCAGTAAACCTATCAAGACATCCAACCCATAAAACCAGGACCGATTACACCCAGGGACCGTTTTAGCCGAGAATGTAAAGCCAGCTGGTGGTGTATGAAAGCCCAGTTTAGCCTGGACCTCTTTTGGACCAGTTAAAACATCTCTCATAAACCAATTTAAGACAAAAAGACCAATTAACAGGAAAATTCAGGCACTGGCATCCATTCGCGAGAGAAGGATATGAAGTGACGGCTGTGTAATGAGGCGCAGAGAATCGAGAGGCCAGATCAGGCATCTTTAGCCCCCCGACGTCACACTGTGTCTCACGGCTGCCCAGTCGGTTCCAGTGGAGGGTCATGAGGAGACGGAAGAGGACAACAATATCAAACTATGCGCTGCTTCACCGTGCTGCGATGAGCAATTACCCAGCCGGAGCTGAGCTAAAGCTAAATGCTATTAATCGTTTCAGGAAATCCTTAGACTTCTTATCAGCAGGGAATACGGGCCTCATAAAATTGGCAAAGGCAAGCTTGTAAAATTGCTATTAAATTAAATTCACCTCAGTGCTGTGACCGAGCTACGTTGCTAAAATAAATAAAAAAGATCCCTGAGCATTTTCACACCTACCCGCTTTACACTCAGCACTATGCCAAAACTGGGTATAGAACCAGCGCCATCATGGTGGGCATGAAGTCACCCAGTGTATCTTGGCACCACAGCAAGGTGACGTAGGCACGTCGTAAAATGTGACGATATTGTCGCTTCAAAGAAGTGGAACCAGGCACCCTGGGTTTGGGTCCATTCGCAAAAGGGGGGTCGGGTGCAGAACCAGCACAGCATCAGCTCACAAACGGGCAGCGTGCTTTTCTGCCTTAAAAGCTGACTGTGGGTTTCCATTTAACCAATGCATGTTTGGTCACTGGATCTGGTGACTATGTTCTTCAGAAAGACACCTTATTCCACTTACCATCTGCTGATCCACAGCATCATATGCAAACTGCATTCCTCCACAGTCCTGGGCGGCGTCGGCTCCAATTCCTGGCCATAAAATCCTCACACGTATGCGATTCCCCCTCTTGGCCCCCTTAATGGTGTTATTCACAGAGAAATGCTATGCTTAAGGAAGATGGAGCAGATGGCAGCCTTCCTGTTAACAGGATCGGTGTTTCCACCTCTGTGTAATTCAGTATTCAGCCTGGGTTTATGGAGAGGCAGAGATCCATCATTCTCTGTGCTGCCGTCTAACGCGACCATGCTCCTCCTGTCTCCCGCACTGACACCCACGTTTAAAAAGACTTCTTCTCACATTCAAATACACTCATGCAACCTCTGTGCCTCTTTCACACTCACACACACACACACACACACACACACACACACACAAACAACCTGTCTAACTCTCACACAGACACAATCAGACCCTAAGTCCAAAACACACACACAACCTGTCTAACTCTCACACAGACACAATCAGACCCTAAGTCCAAAACACACACACAACCTGTCTAACTCTCACACAGACACAATCAGACCCTAAGTCCAAAACACACACACAACCTGTCTAACTCTCACACAGACACAATCAGACCCTAAGTCCAAAACACACACACAACCTATCTAACTCTCACACAGACACACACACAACCTAAGTAAAAAACACAGCTACATACACAACCTAACTCTCACACAGACACACATAGCCCTTGTGCAGCAGAGTCAACTGTAAGGGGCTAAAACAATCTCCTTCCCCCAGTCACCCACACACACAAACAGCAGTAAATACCCCAGATCCTCTCAGTGCTGACGATCTGCTTGCAGACTCATTATTTGGCTCATCGGGGGAGTTGGTATGCAGTTTTGAAAGGGCTAACCTTTCGGAGGTGACAGCCTGGTCTGTGTGTGCCCATGCAGGGGGGCGAGACCAACCGAAGCAGCTGCAGTCTGGCTGGTATCAACTGTCCGGGGGGCAAGTGCTGGTTACCGACTTCTTGGTGGGTCATTTCACGATAGGAATGGCCAAGGAATTTGGCTAGGAGATCTCAAAATAGACTGATAGGGGAGGGATAGGTTTGACACATTTCTGATGAGTAGCCTGGCTATAGGTCACAGATTAGAATCAGGGCGTCCACTTCGACTTGGTTAGCTGAGCCACACGGAGACGTGATATCATTTACACAAATGAGCAATAGAAAACTGATCATGCAAATGTCACAACCGAATTTGTGTGGGCGCCCATGCCTCCCCCGGCAAGATGCTGCCCTGGCCTGCTGCCCGTGTCGCCCATACCTAAATCTGCCAGTGCCCTCAAACATGGAACACCATGCATCTCCCAGTGTGGCACCAGGCGCTGGAGAGTAATTAGAAGCAAGCAGGCTAGGGAACACAATGGACTGCATCTATGGTGTGTCTGTGTGTGTGTGTGTGTGTGTGTGTGAGAGAGAGAGAGAGAGAGAGAGAGAGAGAAAGCATGTCAATTCTTTCACAGCAACTGAGGATTCATCTTCCTCTCACGGCTGCTGGATCCAGGCGATTTGGCACAGCAATTTACTGTAAAAATGACCCAATTAACTTGATTGAAAACTTTAATTCAGAGCTGGCCTCTTACTTCGCTTAATGTATGAGGGTTTTGAGGGAACTGTGCTTGGCTTTCATTTTCTTGTTTTTGTGTAATTGATGGAAAATGGAATGCATTACCTTAGCACCGCATTGGGGGGCAGCTCAGAGGGAGGGGCACAGCCTGAGTTATCGCTGGTCCCCACATTAAGTGCATAAGCGGGAAAATCGTTTGTTCTTCCTGCCACATGGAAATTCTAGTTTATCCCGTTGAATTGAAAATATTTACTTATGATATAACACCTCATTCATTCAAAATTATATGTTCAATGTCCTGAAAATTATTATAGTTATATAATTAATGCGGATATTTACACAGAGCAGTGTATACTTTAATTCATTTACTCTGTTTATTGAGCAAATAGTCTTATACTAGGGGGATTTGGAAATTACTGTGGGAAGCACATCCACTGTATGCAAGTCATTCAGACCGATGCTAAGCGAAACGAAACGCTGCTCCTTGCAGGTTTTCGCGGAGCCGCGTGGTCTCTCTCGAGGGGGCGCGGGGGGTGCGCGTGCGGGACCCTCCGCCCCCTGCCTCTGGACACGCCCACCGGCGCCCGGTCCGGATCACGTGGTCGTGCGCCCGGCGTCCGCGAGTGGGAGCCGCGCCGATCGCAAATCAGACCGGAGAGGAGAAGCGGGAGGCAGAGGAGCGGATAATTCGGTAGACTAAAACGCCGCTTTTTCCAAAGGGAATGCGGGCTGGGGTGACACGGGTTTTGCCGACCGCGCTCCTGAGATTCCCAAAAACCGCTGATCTTTACGCCGGCTGGGGCTGCATCTGTTGCAATGGGCGAACTGCGCAGCGCTGATCTGTCGGCAGACGCCGTTTTGTTGAGTGGGAACTTGGCGTCTTGTTGGGACTCAGTCCAGCGCTAATCGGTTGCGAAGGCCGGCCAGCCATGAGGGCGTTTGCGGCCAACCTGCTTGCCCTGCTTTTTCTGTGCACTTGTGCCTCCGTCCTCTACGTCTGGACCGGACTCGAGGACGGGACGGGCAGGTACAGACGGGGTTCCCGGACGCACGGGGCGGCTTCGGTTCCGGCCGGCTCGCCTCCGGATCGCTCGCTCAAAACTTTCCGTGCACTCCTGGCTGTGCCTCCGGTACTGGGCATCCTCAACCGCAGCATCGCCGAGAAGCGGACCGACACCTCCGGGAAAAGAAAGTCCAACCTGGATTTAAATAAAGCGACGGCCATCGCGACACCGCTGAATCCCGAGCCGGAGGAGCTTGTGGAGGACGGGGTGTTTTGGAGCGATCGGCTGGAGGCTCTGTTGCCGCAGGCTTTCAGCGAAGAGCATGCCCGGACTTGGATCGAAAGAGCCCGGGTCAGCGAGGTGGTTTCACTGGAGCCTGGCTGTGGCAGGACATCAAACCGACTGGCCACCTTCTCGGACGGCTCCCGGGCTTGCGTGCGGTACGGGATAAACGAGGATCAGGTGCAAGGGGAGACCCTGTCTTATTACCTCGCTAGCTTGCTGGGCATGACGAGCCTGCCGCCTATCACCCTCTCCCAGCTGAGCCCCGACAGCCTGCAGTGGGCGGCGGTGAGGGAAGGCATCGGTGGCTTGCAGTGGTCCTGGAAAGCGGTCGTTTCTCTCACCGAGTGGGTCGCTAACCTGACGGGGGTCGTCACTCCCGCGCCCCTCCGGCAAGACGGCAAGGGCTTGCACCCCGTCCGGGAGCAGCTGGCCAACAAGACGCTGGGGGAGTTGCTGGAGCTGGTGCAATGGACCGATCTCATAGTCTTCGACTATCTTACGGCTAACTTCGACAGGCTGGTGAGCAACCTGTTCAGCCTGCAGTGGGACCCGCGGGTTATGGAGCGGGACACCAGCAACCTGCAGAGGACGCCGGACGGCGCCCTGGTGCTCATCGATAACGAGGCCGGGCTGGTGCACGGCTACCGGGTGCTCCAGATGTGGGAGAGGTACCACGACGAGCTGCTGGGCTCCGTGTGCCTGTTCAGGAAGCGCACGGCGCGCCGCGTCCTGCAGCTCCATCGTCTCCGGGACGCGCCTGTCCGTTTGCGGGAGCTCTACCGGCTCCATGAGCCCCTGGCCCCCGAGTTGGGCTTTCTCTCCGAAGAGCATGCAGCGATCCTGCAAACACGAATGGACCGATTGCATAGACACATATTGCACTGCATGGAGCGGTATAGTCGATTATGAAAAACGAAAAACTTGCATCGCAGATAAAACGCCGAAGAGAAAAACTTTAATATTCCCACCCTTTAAAAAAAAGTATTAAGATAACCCGAGCTTGTTAAACACACCCGTATGAGATTTCATTTCTCCTCAAGATTAATCCTATCACCTACCTCTCATGAACAAAATAAGTGGTTTGCCGTCATTTTAAAACATTCCTTAATTTAAATCCGTTCTGGAGCTAAATTGTTTGGGCTCTTAATGCCGTTTTAATTAAGCCTTAAAATGAGTTTAATTATATGCAGACTGCAAGCACCGAGGTCACACGTCAGCTGGTGAGGTTGTGTGCAGATGTAAATGACTGGATGGGCAGAGCACAGATGTGGATGACAATGGGTTAGTCTGTATTACATGGAGACAAAGGGACTCTTACATTTACAAGAGATCAACAGTAGCCTTATAATGTAATTTCCGTGGGTTTCAATGGTTAAAGCCTTATGTGAAATATGTGGATGGAATGTCTGCAGACACAAAGAGGCCTTAATCCACAGGTCTGATGGGGGGGAGAAGCATTGGATTTATTGGGATTTTTGGGTGGTGAGGAATCCTGTTATCCACTGTCTGCAGTTAGAGATGGCAGCCAAAACCAAAATTTTACCTTTTGAGTAATATGATTGTATTTTCAGCCTTAAGATATTACAGTTCGTAGGAATCTGGTGTTTTGTGAATGGAGTTAAGTACATATTTGGGCAGGGTTACGGCAATATTTGGTAACATTCCCAATAGGCTGTCTTTTGTATGGCACACGTGTTTTACGTTTTCTGCTGTAATATAATGTGGAGATTTAAGTGGTGTGTTTTTCAGTCTGTTCACATTTTACCACAGATATGATGGATCATTTATTTACAGCGAGTCTTGGCAACTTAGACTAGTGCGAGCCAGAATGTGAGCCCCCCCCCCTCCCCCCCCACACACATTGTGCATTGACAAATAACTGCTGGTCTTTTACTGTAGCCTGGAAACCTTGGGGCTCTTTTAACGTCTCTCCTCAGCCCGAGTTTAGCCACATGTCAGCGCTGAGGCTGATTATCCGCCGAATCTCTGAGAAAGCAAAACAGGACTCTAAAAATAACTCGGTGTTATAATTCGCTGTTTTTCTGGCGTTTTTTTCCAGATTAAAATAATTTTTGAAAGCAATATGAGCGAAACGGCCAGCACTGATCGTTTTTTTTTGGGGGGGTGGGGTACTTCTGAAGGGGTGGTTTCATGTAGAACTTTATCATTGCCAGTTGTGGATTAGCGTGCTTCCCTCCACCCTGTGTAGGTTGAATGCCCCCCCCCCCCCGCTCCCCACCCCCGGTTCTGTTCATTGTCCTCCTGTGGGAGAACAAGGCGGATGATTCCTGCTGTTCCCCATCGTAGGACACCATGCTTTTCATTTAATCTTGTTGCTTAATCTCAATCTGCAGAGCGCTCGGCCTGCGTTACTGTGTTACTGCTGTTTGCCGTGTTGTCAGGGAGCAGAATCTGGCCCCTCGGGACGGGGTGGGGGTTACACTAGTCTGCCGCTGCATCTTATGGCACTTGAAGACCCCTCCTTGATAACTCTGGGGTAATTTGGCATGGGATGCACGCCGCCTCCACCCACTCCAGGCAATTTTCCCCTTAGAGGGGGTGTCGTTGAGGAAGTTCTCGTATTCGGAGGCGCGGCTGAGAACGCTGTGCTCTCTGAAGGCGAGTAACAGGCTGTTTTGCATTTAAATGCCGTAAGAGTTTTCCTGGCGTGTCCCGTCATCCACTTGCGATTCACGGTCGAGCACCGTTGCTAATTCCGCCGCGCTGTGGTGTGAGCCCTACGAACAGAGAAGGCCCAGAAGTGTGTTTCAACACTGCGGAAGAGGAAAGCATGACAATAGGCTGTGCCACCAGGGTCAGCAGTATCCCATCATGCCCCTGTGTGCTGCTGTCTGTTTAGGGAGCCATCTTTGTTTTTGATTGGAGTCTGGGGCTTGTCTGGGGTCCCCTGGCACCAGAGATAGAGGGCAGGGGCTGCAGCAATGGCGATCGATGCGGAGTGTTATTCTCTCTGCACAGCATGGCATTTCTGGTGAGCAGAAATGTATGTTTGGCGGGGGGGTGATATCCTGTGCTGCATTTAGTGCCCAAAGTCATTCACTGCTGATGACAGCTGCAAATTATTTATGACGTAAACCAGGCTTTCATAATTTGTGGGGAGTGGGCGGGGTACGTCAGCTGGTCCCCCCTCCTCCTACGGTTCTATTTTTAAGGAAAATTGGATTTTCTTTTTTAATTATATGCTGTTTTTAGGCTCCCCTCTGCTTCTATAAGGGCCACCATCCGGCCTGATTTACGCCGGTAGGAATATCAAAGGCATACCGGCCGCAGCTCGGAGTCTGCCTGTGCCCTCCCGCTTAGCTCTCGGCCTCCAGCAGGGGCCTAAATATCTGTCTGGGCCTCATTAACCCCCTGCCTGAAATGGAGGGGCTTTGTCCCAGTCGCAGCCTGGGATGGACACCTGGTCCACTCTTTGTAGTTAATGACTAGAGAACCAGGGCCTTTCCTGTTTGTAAATGCTTCAGTCCTCCCCCCACCGTGTGCCGCCAGCCAGCCAGCCCGGCACGACTCCCAAGCGGCGCATTATTTAATCAGGACGATGAGCCAGAATCTGCTCCGGAAGATTTGCACGCCGGGAGCCGTTTTCGGAAGCGCCGTCTGCGAGGGCAGGTAGTTTCTGTAGTTTCTGGGTCTCTCCTCTCACGGAAGTTTCATTTACCCACCAAGCTCTGCTTTCCTGTCGGTGTTAATGTCTGAGCTGAAAGGCACAGGTTCCCCAGCCATGCGGACAGAGTCCCGCTGCAGTAAATGGGGAAGTAGCAGCGCGGTTCATTCATCAGTCTCTAAGAGGCAGCGCTTTTAGTGGCGCGGGCGGGCGGGGGCGTCACTGAAATGTTTAGGGCTCTGCAAAGCCCTTGTGTCCGAGCGAATCTGTTATATAGAACATTCCAGGGAAGGAGAACATGCCGACCAGCAGGGAGGAGGTGCCACAGTGGGATTCTGCGGTGTTTGTATCTGTGGAAAGTGGGTGGCAGTGGAGCAAAGGTCTTTGTCCACTGCTAACTAAAGGAACAACAGTGTCATCATCATCCTAGGATCCATGTTTATTGGACTGCTCCTGAAGAGAGAGAGAGAGAGAGAGAGAGAGAGAGTGTGTGTGTGTGTGTATGTGTGTGTGTGTCAGTCAGAGAGAGAGAGGGAGAGTTTATATTTCTATTAAAAAAAAACAGTCCTGCTGTTGGAAATGACGTGAAGCTGGTTTTTCACTTTGCTGTACTATGCTCTCTGTAATATACAATAAGATGTCATTAATGTTTGTTTTTGTTAACTAAAAAAAAGTTTAAGTGCGCACTTTATTTTGCTTTTTTTTTTTTATAAATGATTTGTTCCTGTGTTTTTACAAAATGTATTTGGCTGAGATATGTCAATAAAGATACATGTTTAAAAAGAAAAAAAACATTTGTTCTTATGTGAGTGTAATATCCCATTCCATTAGTTTGGTTTTAATGTGGTTTTTTATAAGTATTGATTGTTCCGTTGTAGTGGTATATAAACCCCTCTGGTAAAATGGGTTTGTTTTGTTGAACACTTTATAAAAATTCCAGGTGCTGGATACTGTTTGAAATGTAGACGTGAGGCTGTTGGAAAGTAAACAGCTTCTTTACCGTAGAGCAAAGCCCACTGCACTATTTTTGAGCATTTGTATGTTTTACATTTTGAAATCATTTTGGGATTTTTGGGCAGCCTCCAGGAAGATGATGTTTATGGTTTTCATGGGTGCGTTAGTCATTACGTCTAACCTGTCCTAAGCCGCTGCTTCTCCCTGCTCCTCTTGACTATGGAATGTTCTTTGGCCATCCCCCGTGTCTGAAGTGAGTTTGTGATGAAGCATTTTGCTCACGGGACCAGCCTCAGAAAACCTTTTTGCAGTCCAGCAAAGATCTCGGTGAGCCACCTCTTACTTAACCATTACGCCCCCTGTTGAGCATTTTGGGTCCGAAACACATTCGCATTGGGATCAGACTTGGCTCCACTCAGCCGTGTCATGCGGCACCAGCCAACTCCATCCCAACTCCTGCTCATACCCATCCATCCCTGTCTCACATAGTCCTCTTTGAAAACCAAAACCATCTGCATGAAGAGGTTCTTTAACACAAGCAGATCTCGCTCTGTCAGTCACCGTTGTGTTTCTTTGTTGTGTTTGGGGAGGGCTGGATGTCTCTACATGTTGGCCTGTTTTCTCTCAACGTCAAATTATACACGGTTTGAAATGCAAATTGTCTTTTGTCGAGGGTGTTAATTCCGCCGATGTTATCCGTCGAGAGGCTCCCAGGCGTGATTCCCGGGAATGTTCCCATCTGACAGATATGAACAGCGACGGAAACGCAGTAATATGTCCGGCACTGGGGTAACATTTGTCATGCTGCGTCTTGGGGGCTCAGTATGTAAATGAGACCTGATATCCCCTCACACCCCCCCCCCCCCCCCATTAAAGCAAGCCTTGCTAAATGTAGGACTGTCTTCATTTATTTGCCTGTGAGAGGAAGGCCTGAAATTGGGAAGGGGCGGTGGGGTTTAAATCTCACCCCCCACCCCCAGTTGCAGTGTTCAGCTGTTAGTTGTGAGCCGGTGGATTTCCCGCTCGCCGGTGATCTGCGGGTGACTCATTCGGTCGATGGCGTGCTTGGCACCCTGTGATCTGTCAGCGGTGAATCCGTCTCCCTCGGGCAGATGACGGGCAGCCGATATCCTCTCCATTGTGCGTATCCAGGTGCTGTTCCAGCATCGCCGTCTCCCGGGAGACAGCTATCAGCTGACTGCGGCGCCTAGTGCACAGGAACAGGCAAGGACACGCAGCTGGGAGGAGGGCGCAGCGGAGCGGAGAGGGAGGTGCAGGGCAGGTTCTCTGATGATCCATGCACTGCTGAGCGCCCCCCCCTGGATGGGCCCCATCACCCATGCGTCTCCAATAAATTTGCAGTTTGCACGGGGGGCCATTGCCAAGTGAAGCCCGACACACGGGTAATTACTGGCACTTGCAGGCTCCTGTCGTCTAGTCTGGCAGGAAACCTGCAGCCTTTCATTATACGCAGGGAGGTGAAAAGGAGACTTTCCCCCATAAAGGAGAGTTTAAGTATATGGTTGGAGACAGCAAAGATGCTACTACTGGTGCATTTTCTGGCAGCACGATGAGAGACTGCGGGGGGAGCAGGGCAAGTGGGCGAGGGGGGGGGGGGGGGGCAGTGTAAGGGGTGTGCAGGTTAACGAAGGAGGGAGTTTGGCACTTTGAAAACGTCGAACAGTCGCTTTCATATTTCCTAACCTTTGTTACAGTCCCCCGTGCACTAGGGAAGGTACTTCTGCGTCATCATCAACAGAGCACTGATTTTTGCATGTGGGGGGGCTCAGTGGAATCAGCCCCCCCCCCCACCTCATAGCTCTATACTGAGAGAGCGAGAGAGAACTTGCATGCTTGATTCTGGCATCAGTGTGAGAGGCCCTTGTCTTTCTCTCACTTAAACCCGCTAAACCGAGGGATATGTGACAAACGGGGTCGGCCTGGGTGAGTCTGTGGAGCCGTGGTGACAGACTGGCCTCTTCGCCTCATTTCCATGACTTATCTGTGAGATGGTCTGCTGGATATTTGCGTGCGGAAAGATCCCTCAGGGAGATGTCTGGAGCAGAGACCGTCCACATGCCTATCCTCCGAGTGCTGCATCCATAGGCGGGGGCAGGGTGGGGGGTGTGCAGCCTGCAATCCCCAAAAATGTCA